TACTGGCTTCTACAGAAACTGACAACAATCAGTGACCGATGTCTTTCATTTAGATGCCAAGTATAGTACTTGTTCATGCTCAGTCGCATGGATTGGCATGCGTGATGAATGAAATACGTGGATATGGCTTTTCCTCTGTAAGGAATTCATCATATTACAATGCATCTGTTGGTTGTTTTCCCCTTTATAATTTCTTACAGCTAAATCTCAGATTCCCCGTTAACTGTCAAACTGAGACAGCAGAAAGTCAGATGTTTGGTGAAAATGTTTACCTTAACAATGGAAACAGAATTAAAATCAAGTCAATGTAGCATATCAAAAGAGTAAAACTAGGTACAACAAAATGGAGTTATTACGTGAAGACAGAAACAGGTAGAAGAAAAGTGATATCAATAAACTATGTGGTGATTGCTACCATAGTTTATTGAAGCTAAAGACCATTTCATTTTGGATTCAGAAATTTGGTGTAACAATTCCAATTGCAAAATCCTAAGCGATTTCAACCATTTTCTTGTTCCGATGTCAACTGATAGCTCTTTAGGACTAAAAGCCATACAGTCGATTAGAAGTTTTATTACTTCATACCTTAGTCATTTTTGTGAGTGTTCACTAAATCGGATAGACAGACATCTCTGTGAATCACACATATAGTTGATTCTTCAGACAAATTCGAACTGATATACGTATTCAGGTGTGTCAATGCTTGGAGCGCTGTCGTCCCATGATTATTGTAGGACTTGTTTGGTGGTACTAAGGTATATGAGTTCCATGGCATAATATGTTCTCCTAGCGCTTTGTTTGACCTAACTACCTCAATCATGCCATTAAGTCATACATTTTTGTAAATGGGCCTCATGGGTACTGCGTAATAAAAAATAGCTTCATTCCCTACCCATCATGCATGTTTATTAACCCACCCTTCAAGGAATTCATTCTTGGCTACAATGTCCTGTAAAGACCTTACTTCACACTTCAGGTTCTACTCGAACAGACTTTGTGGCTGTAATAAATAGCTTTCAGACTGCACCAGTTTTATATTAGATTGGACAGAGCCCTTAAAATGGGGGTCTTGGTCTATCTAGGATGGTTAACTATAAACAGACCTATCGATATATCCATCATTTCTTTTCACTGGGGTGATATCTTGAAATCGGAGTGTTTAATTTACTTCATGCTCCATTATGGAGGTCATGCATACATGCAGAGTTGTATCCTATGTACCACTGATTAAGCTCTGTCTGCTGTATGAATAACTTTACTAGTCGTGAGATTCGGGTGAAATTTATTCCGAAAAGAAAAAGATCAAAGGGCTTCACACTACATGCCACCAGTTTGGTACAATAATCGACCATTGAGATGAAAATGGATGTTTTTGGTACAAAAAAGCCAAAGCTTCCGCGAGTATGTGGATCATCCAGTTGACAAGTTCTGCTGAAACTTGAATTCATTGTGTTCTGCTCTTTCACACTGGCTGCTTGCTTTATATTTGCCACGAAAAATAAATGTAAACTAATTAAGAAATTATTCAGGAATATATTAAACTGTCCATCAATCTCTTTCTATTTTCAAAAAGAGGCTCACAGACAAGTGTGAATTTAGCCGAAGACCATTCTCCAGTCAAATTTACTGATCGGAAATCAATAGGGTAACATATATGGGCATAATGCCGTTCAGGTCTAAAAATACTCAATCACATTGCATTAGAAATGCTAACAAAATCATTTATATAAAAAGCTGTGATATATCGGGTAGTTTTTGATTCGTTCACGAAAGGAACGAATATAAACCTGAAAAAGTTGGATAACAGTTAACGATGAGGAAAAAAATGGGTTTGTTTTAAGGGAACTAATATGATCACTGAATGATTTTAGGCGTACCGGATGAATTTCGACGAGGCATTTAAAAGATATGAAAATAGCACTTACGAACGTAAACAGTATTTTTTGTGCATGAGAGTAGAAAAACAAGGATTACTTCAGAGTGAGCTCACTATAACATAAGAAATCTTCTCTAACCAGTTGTGGAAAGAAAAGCTCAAATATTGAACACGCTGATTGTTCGTAATAATTAGGTTCAGGGTCATTTTTTCCACATTTGAATTATTCTCCTGTTCTTTGCCCAAATCAGTCATCTATTACGGTCATGTGTGTCTGCACCACCATCCTTATTTTGGTAGACATTCACATACACACACAACAGCCATATATTCATTTGGACGCTGGTTAAACAGACAGACAACAGGGTGACAAGCTGATTCACACAGTAAAATGATTGGTTCTTCTTATTCGTTATATAGTATTCTTGATATCAAGAAGTTGTGGACAGATTCATTGAAAGTTTTCGAAAAATTACGTTGAAGAAATACAGCGTAGATTATGGACACACTGTCAGGCAGTTATCATGTATACTTTATTGAAAACATCGGCTTGCCTGCATAAATTGGGATTAAAACATATGAGATGAGAGTAACAATGTCGAAAAGCGACACTAGAAAATTAGCATCCTGATCTGTTTGGATGTACATCAAATCTACAAGGTTGGTTTTCGCTAAACAATTGTTTTGAGAATTCCGTTTAAACAATATTTATTATTTTTGTAATCCCTTCTGATCTTCAATGCATAACATTATGGAGACCGCATAATAGCTAGTAAATTGGATTTAAACTTTCCGGTTGAAGTAGAAGAGGCCAGTCGCATCTGGCTCAGTAGTTAATAGTCAACGACATTCAAACTAGGGTACGGTTTATGTGAGTTTACATAACCTATGTAAAATACTTGAGTTTCACCATTTCCGTTCTATTGATAGCTGTGTACTGAGGAAAGCTACAACTGTGATCCATCTTGGCGTGTTTTTCTTCGTACCTTTCCAGGTCCTCCCACATTTTGCTGGTTTTCAAAAGAGTCTTCCAACTAACTTATTATATTAGGAAGCGGAGATTATCTGGTTAAACTCAACCTATTCTCTTGTTTTTATAAACTTCCACATCTTGTCTATTCCCTATTGTTTCCTTTCATTCTTTCTTGCGTTGATGAAAATTACGATGCTTTGTTTCGTAGAACTTTGAAGATTGTCAGTAGAACTGGTGGTATACCTTTAACAATCAAATAGAAATAGTTGGCAACAGAAACTAACTGATATAAACATTTGGTAGGAGTTACTTTATAAGGTGACCAGCATCCTCATTACTCAAAGCTTTATACGTTTCCGTTCCTAGGTAAAACCTTGAGGAAGTATATAATACTTTATGCACACTCAACTAAGTATTAAAACTCTGAAATACTGTATTTAGCTCGTATCCTGTACGAGGTTGGAAGGGTCAGAAAGAAAATAACCAATAAACTTTGTTTTTGAAAGGAAACTCATTCAAAAATCCATAGGTTGAAGTTATTCATGCATTATGAACCTAACTGCTAATGCGACTACCTGTCTTAGTTAACTTTGCATTTTTAAGAAAGTTGTAAATATAGTAAACATTCCTATCTTTTATGAGTAATTTCTACTTATTTTATTATAATTTCGACTATTTGAGGTAACCGTGGCTTGACAGACTAGTAATGATACTGGGTGATGATTGAAGGTGAATTGAAAATTTGGACCGCGGCTGGATTCGAACCAGCGATCGTTCGATAGTTACGCATCAAGAATTCCCATAGTAGTCGGCCAGAACTCTTGGCAATGGAAGTGAACTGAAAATCTATTCAGCATTCGTACCTCGTACCTCAGTTGGTAGAGCGTCGGCCAGAAACCTGCTGGTCGCTGGTTCGAATCAGACCGTAGTCCAAATTATTTTACTATGTAAACATGTACACTATTTCTGTCCAGTTGATGTTGTATGACATGTAGAAAATTCCGTTCAGTATTTTCCAAATAAACCTCGCCTGGTTAACTAGTTTACTAGTTACTAGCCGGTCCTAAGCCCACATAAAGAGGGAAGGTTGGGCATAGGGCTAGCAACACTACCCCGTAAAACAAATCTAACCGCTAAACAAACTTCAAAGCACAAACAAAATATAAAAAATGAAAACAAACTTATTCCTCGCTAGAATCGGAGAGGTGAAATGACGCCAGTTGATGAAAGTCTTCGGGAAGCCAATTGGCCGATGTGTCTTCTCTCCCTCGATGAAAGCGAAAGTAAACGTAGGGACATGGAACGTCCGTACGATGTTTGAACCCAGTAAGGCAGCCCAGATTGCAAAGGAGATGAGAAGGTATCACATCGAAGTGCTTGGGATTTGCGAAAGCAGATGGAATGGAAGTGGAGTCTCCAAACTGTCAACTGGAGAATCAATAATCTACTCTGGTCACTCAGACGCCAACCACGAGCACACTGAGGGAGTGGCTATCATGATGTCCTCAAGAGCATCGAAGGCTCTCATGCAGTGGGAACCAATCTCCTCCAGGATCATGACTGCAAGATTCAACTCAAAAGGAAGGAAGGTCACAATCATACAATGCTAGGCTATGCACCTACAAATAATGCAGAGCAAGAGAAAAAGGAGTATTTCTACAGACAACTTCAATCAACACTGGACAAGACGTCAGTTGGCGATATCAAAATTCTAATGGGCGACATGAATGCCAAACTGGGAGGGGACAACACAGGAAGAGAACTAACCATGGGTCGAGAGGCGCTAGGTGAAATGAATGAGAATGGAGAATTGTTTGCAGAATTCTGTGCATTCAACGATTTGGTGATTGAAGGCAGTGTGTTCAGGCACAAAGATATCCACAAAGCGACATGGATTTCACCAGACACCAGGACACACTAAAAATCAAATCGACTTTATCTCAATCTCAAGAAAATGGAGACGCAGTCTACTTAACACAAGGTGAAGAAGAGGAGCAGATGTAGGTTCAGACCACTATCTAGTGCAAGGAACCTACCTTCAAATCAAGTTAAAAGCCTTCAAGGAAGCTGGTGATAGATGGAATACCGCCAGAAGCACTGAGAACAGATGCAGAGACAACAGCGGACATGCTCACACCACTATTGCAGAAGGTGTGGAAGGAAGAGAAGGTACCTGACGATTGGAAGAAGGGTTACCTTGTCAAACTGCCGAAGAAGGGAGACCTCAGTGCTTGCAAGAACTGGCGCGGAATCACTCTCCTGTCCACCCCAAGTAAAATATTAAGCCGCATCATCCTGGAGAGGCTTAAAGACGCACTGGATTCAAAACTGCGACCGGAACAGGCAGGCTTCAAGGAGTACAAATCATGTGCAGACCAAATTGCAACGCTTCGTATCATCATAGAACAGAGCATAGAATGGCAATCAGCTCTCCACCTCAACTTCATCGACTTTGAGAAGGCCTTTGACAGAGTCGACCGAGAAGTAATTTGGAAACTGCTTCAATACTACGGAGTACCGCAAACCTTTATCCGCCTCGTCCAACAACTATATGAAGATGCCACATGCCAAGTAATCCACAATGGGAAGCTCAGTGATGCCTTTGAAGTGAAGACAGGAGTGAAACAAGGTTGCCTACTATCCCCCATGATATTCCTTATTGTGGTGGACTGGATCATGCAGCAAACAGTAGGCAGCGAGAAGAGGGGGATACACTGGACGACGGAAAAGAACCTAGAAGACTTGGATTTCGCCAGTGATGACTTGTGCCTAATGTCACATAAACTTGAAGATCTGCAGGCAAAAACTAACAAGTTGACAGAAGAGGCAGCTAAGACGGGACTTCAGGTGAATATAGAGAAGACAGAAGTGATGAAGATACCGCACCACCACCATCAACAACAACAACAAACTCCAATCACCGTCAACGGGAGAAACTTGAAGGAAGCAACCTCCTTCACTTATCTAGGAAGCACTGTTTCAACTACAGGCGGGACGGACGAGGACGTCAAAATCAGAATCGGAAAAGCAAGACAGGCGTTCATTAGCCTGAAACCAGTGTGGAGATCTTCTGCACTCAGCATGCGGAACAAGATACGGATTTTCAACACCAACGTCAAGTCAGTGCTCTTGTATGGCTCAGAGACTTGGCGCGTCACGAAAGGCATTTCCAATAAACTACAGACATTCATCAACAACTGCTTACGCTGGCTCGCTACTGAAGATCAGATGGCCAGAAAGAATAAGCAACAAGGAACTCTGTGAACGAACCAACCAAGAACCTATCACGCAATAAATATGCAGGAGGAAGTGGAGATGGATTGGCCATGCACTGAGAAGGCCGACTGGGGACATCACGCGTCAGGCCAGGCCCTCGAGTGGAATCCCCATGGGAAGCGACGAGTTGGACGTCTGAGGGTGACATGGAGGAGGTCGTGCGAGGAGGAAATGAGAGGTTGTGGGCTGTCGTGGAACCAGGTTCAAAAGATCTCAGAGAACAGAGTGTACTGGAGGCGTGCTACTGAAGCCCTATGTTCCACTAGGAACCCAAGGGACTAATAATAAAATAATAATAATAATTTTCCAAATATCTTTCAGAATAAAGTCATCACAATAATTATTATTAATCTGTGGGATCTGTTACATGAGAGGTTTTCATTTGGTTTTACTGTCATATGTACCTTTAATTACTATGCATTTAACAAGCCTTTTGAAGCAGTCAGGTTGGTTAAGTACTCCTGTCACAAAATACATGTTTTCGACCAAAATACCTGAGTACAAAAGTTCATATTTGGGTGGTTAAGGTCAGTTAACGCATGTGTCTTCTCATAGGCGTTTTAACTTCGAACTAAAGATTAAATATTTGTGAGAAAATTTCTGTCTTTAGCTTTTGGTTAGATATTATTTGAGTGGTATACATTCTTTGTTTCAAAGCTGCTTTTTCGTCATATATATATATATATATATATATATATATATATATATATATATATATATATATATATCAGCTTATTACTATTAAAAACAAACGTAAATCGACATTCTCAAAGATATTTTTTAAGTGGACTGCGAATCAAATCTATCACCTAATGACTAATGTTACTCCATTGTTGTGTGCCGGTGAATGAAGTATGTTATCAGTAGATTGAATATAAACTGCAAAGAAATATCAGACAGTGGTAAAAGTCTGACAGTCTTTGCAAATAAATGTCAATCATAACGAAACTGGTTAGAAGTGATTAACTCTAAAAATTATGCTACGCTTAGATAAAATAATGAATAAGGATTTTTATCTGGAGAATCATTTTTGATCACAATTGCCATTTCATTCTGTTCTTTAACTAGTAAGAGCATTTTTTGGGGGGAGGGGTGTCTGCGGTTTTTTGAGGTTTTAAGGGAACGAATTCTCCAACGCAGGCAACATGACACAAAGTTAACTGAAATGTCATCCTACTGAAGTCAGTGACCACACTGTGTATTTGGAAGACGAATGCTTTTCATTGAAGGGTTGCATTGGTTACCACTCAGTGAGCAACTACTATGAACTAGAAGACCTAACAAATGGGAGAGCTAAAGGTCCTATTACGTAATGTCGTTGGAAGTAATGTTGAGATGGCTCACATATGCTTCATTCTGTGAAGGGAATCCAGCTTGAATTTTAAAGTAGAAATTCCAATAATTTTATCATCCTGATGAGTGACATTCATGACGTATCTTATTTTCGAGGATGCCGTCATAGCGTTTTCTTATTTAGAACCTGAAAAACCTGACATTAAACCAGTCTCGTTAGGTGGAATAGTTTGTAAATGAATTCACGCTCAATAAGTACGATAAGCTTATGTAGAGTTACTTTTTCAAAAGACGCATTACTTGTCTAGTCTCCAGTTATTCGTCTCCCTCGAAATACCATCGCTCACTGAAATGCAATTACATCCGGCTGATTAGTACTTAGCAGAACAAAACGTGCATCATAGACCCATCGCTATACACCCCTAAGCAAATTCCACTAGCTAGCTAACAGCCTTAACAACTAGACATTGATTTTTCACCTTTAGTAAAGTGAAACGCAATTCTATAACAACTTTAGTGTGCACATAACTTATGTAGGTAAATGTATTTCCGTTGTATTTTATCTAGTTTGGTTAGGTTTATCACTTAACCACAAAGTGAGTACAGAACAAACTTAACAAAAAAGGTAAATGAAGTGGTAAAGGTAGGAAAACAAAGTTGGGAGTTTATGAACAAAAAACATATGAAAACGTTTGTCTAGAAATAATTCTGATTAATAGCGGCATCTGTTATACCTTATTTATCTTGAGAAGAACGCTAATAACCAAATTTTTCTACTCATCTGTGGTTTTATTAACCTGACTGCTTTACTTCGTGTTCTCTCACTCAGAGGAACGACTATTCCACCAATGAAACTGACAAGTTTTTTGCACTAAAGTATTTCCTTAAATTTGCATTAAAAAAGAAATCTGTAATAAGCTTTTAAAGTTGCATAGTATTAAGGAGGATAATGTCTTTTACAGAAAGTTATGGCTTTATTGAGAGTGTAATACTAACTACTTTCATAGATTGATGATTTTAATCAGTTGGCAGGCAGTTATCATGAATCAGTATTACGATTAGGAATTGCATTAATGAATGTGCTCTAAAAACTACTGGTTTCTGTTTAACAACAATCATCATTTTACTTCTACCGATTTTCGACACATTGCGAAAGTAAAAGTATCAACTATTTCAGGATGTTGCAGTTAGCTTGATGATGGCCATCATTGGAATCCATAACTCATGTTTCATCCCATTCTGGTCTCATCAGCTGCATGCACCTGTACCCTAGTCAGTGATGTTATTTCCACTGAGAGCTCCACACGCATCACTACAAGCACTAAAGTGTAATCTGTTAGACCAGTGAGACACGGGAGCCACTTTCTGTGAAAACAGTGTCAGTTATTGTGTACTAACATCTGTAATTTCACGGTTTTATTCTGGATCAGACTGCTCCACCTATGTTTTAAATAAAAGTTCTAAAACACTTTAAAAATGCCTGATAATACGTAGTACGATTTGAAGACATATTTCGACGAACAAAACAAGTTACATGAAGCAAGTTGAAATTGTTCTTGTAGTCCATATATCTTTTAGTAGGGCACTTTTTTAGCCGAAAGCATGCGTTGGTATACAATCATAATACGTTTAAATTACTCAGTCATTTTCTTAAAAGTCAGTACTACACAACGTTAACTATTCATCTCATAACTGGTAGTCTTCTAAAGGTAATCCTAGTAACTGTCAATCTCCTGGAAGCTGTTCATAGTTTTAGTCAAATTTGTGAAGTGTCGAGTAAGTTTTGAAACACGTACGAAGGTATACTGCAGCAAACCTTAGGCGTTTTTTGGTTTATTTCAGGAGAAACAATTTATTTTAGCTCCGTTAAATTTCTTGTACTGGAAGTGATTCATGTGAAAGTTGAAATGCGAACTTTTCATGATAGCTTTTAGTCCTAAATGAAAAGTAGATACAGGATAAGTTCTGTGGATTGATACATTTATACTTCCATAAAATGTCTTTCAGAAGTTTCAGCAATACAACAGCTGAAAGTTTTAGGTGTTGAGTAGCATTTTCTTAAATAAGTAGTCATGCATTAACATGACTAAGGAGGTATACATTCATTGACTAGTCACTGCAGAGTCACCGATTTTATAGGACTTAATTTTGGGTGGTAACCGAATTCTGTGAGTCATTTTGGAGGGTAGTCGTCGAGCTAGAAGACTTTGCCTCATGGTGTAATTTTATTGATGTTAAATGGCTGAAACCAGAAGGCCTTGAACCTCAGTTTCCTGCTTGTTGTTACTTGCCAGGAAGGTGTATGTGCAACCTTGAGGAAAGTGATGTCATATAGAAGATTTCAGTATGCGTCACTAGGTCATTTAGTTAAATACATCACCATTGAGTTATTTGGGACCTAACTAACCTAATACAGAGCTGGGAAAGATGCAATGATTAGCATGTGAAGAGTATTGAATTTTTATACTGTTTTCTCTGTCCCTACAAATACTCACGACATGAAAATCCGCATAACATGTTATGATAAATATACCTACATTTGTAAAAACCGAAGCCAATTTGCAAGACATTTACGAGATTTAACAGGTCAAAGAAGTCGAAACCCTCTCTACCTTAATAGAATAAGAGTACAGAAGATATATTTGAGATAACCTTGAGGAATGTTTTGGCATCCTGATGATAGGCTATTTGAAAGGTATGAAAAATATTTGCCTGGTTGCATCTTTACACCTAGGTTCTCATAAAATGATCTATGAGTACCTTAAAGCTTGGTTTTCAAACACTTCAGCATAGAGTAACAAATGTAGCTGTTTAGTCCTGAGTGTTCAGAAGTAACCAGTCCAGCAAGAAGGTTTTAAATGTGGCTATTTCTATTATCTACCGTATTTCGGTGCTAGGTGTTGGGATTCAGACAATAAGAATTTCAGGACCTAGATTTCATGTTTTTTGATAGTGTTGGAGAAGATTCACTTCAGAAAGTTGGGCTAGCATTAGAAATACTAGTGACTGAATTCCCTAAAGGAGACGAATAACGTGTTATTACAAGAACAAAGGTAATTGCTGTTGATCATTTTATGAAGGGTGGTGAAAATTCATTTTAAGTGGTCAATTATAAATGAAGATAATATTCTGCAACGAATTGTAGGATAGTAGTCAAGATTTTATCATGCAGATAAATAGACTCGCCGATAAAATAACCTAGAGAAAAATGATTCATCCTAATAACACTTGACTAATTCGTGACATTCCCAGTCTTGTTCCCATTGAATAGTAAATTTTAAACAGAGACAAATAAACCTAGCTAATTCTGTCTATCAGTCATTTACTGAATCGGATACACAAATATCACCTACTCTACAGTTCGGTTTATTTTTGAGTAAATGTAGTGAAACGAAAAAAGTTATGTGAACTATGATTAAGATTTCATCTGTTAGTGTCGCAAATATTGGGCACTGAAGAAGCTCGAACCATAATTCCATCTGAAACGTTGAGATGACTTTATTTCAAACACTGTGTGGCGTACACAAATATAAACTGTTTCTAATATCAAACGGAGTTGTGATTAGGAGGCTAGGCATTGTATTTTGGATAGCGAAAAGCACAGTGAGAAAATGTGTAAATCTGGTTCAGTTTGCATAAATATTTATCGAGTTAATGGTAATGTAACGCTTTTCTACATTATGATGAATTGTACACTTCAAAAAAGAAATCATTTTTGTCTACACACTTAACACCTGTCTCACTTCACTAATAATAACAATCTCTTTATTCCAAACAATATGCATGACAGTATGGAATTTTCAGCACCTTATTTTTCAACAAATTCACTCACAGAATAACACTTTCGGACGAAATGCCTATTGCATCTGCGTGATGTTAATAATAACAGTATTCATTGTGGAGATCTACTGCACTCCACTCAGCATACAGAACAAGATCCAAATTTTCAACACTAATTTAGTCAAATCAGTGCTTCTATATGGTTCAGAGACTTGGTTCATTACGAAAAGCATTTCCAACAAACTGCAGACATCATGCATCAACAGCTGCCACCTACGCTCGATACTTAAGGTCAGATGGCCAGAATAATAAAAATCAGCAACAAGGAACTCACTCTGGCTGGCAGCGAACCAACTAAGAACCTATCGCCCGACAAATGTGTAGAAGAAAATG